TAATCCCAGCTACTCAGGAGGCTGAGATCTGAGGATTGCAGTTCAAAGCCAGCCTGGGCAGGAAAGCCTGTGAGACTCTTATCTCCAATTAACTACTCAAAAACCAGAAGTGGAGGCTGTGAAGTTGGCTCAGTGGTAGAGCACTTGCCTTGCATGCCTGAGGCCCTGGGTTCGATTCCTCAGCACCATATAAGCAAAAAGAAAAAAGCCGGAAGTGGTGCTGTGGCTCAAGTGGTAGAGCGCTAGCCTTGAGCTGAAGAGCTGAGGGACAGCGCCCAGGCCCAGAGTTCAGGCCCCACAACCGGACCAAAAAAAAAAAAAAAAAAAAGAAAAGACACAAAAACCAGAAGTGGAGCTGTGGGTCAAAGTGGTAGAGTGCTAGCCTTGAGCAAAGGAGCTCAGAGACAGTACCCAGGCCCTGAGTTCAAACCTCACAACTGACAAAAAAAAAAGGTAATAAAAATAAATAAAAGCAGGGATAATATTTTCTCAATTTTCATCTCTATATTTGATCTATTTCATAAAAAATAGGATTATCGTTTCAGTTGGACATGGTGGTGCATGTGTAATCCCACTTACTCAGAAACCCAAGAGTTCAGCTCCAGCCTGGGCAGTATACTACCCAAACAAAGAAATAAAAATAGTATTCTATAATATCATATTAATTACATGATATGTAATATTGTGTTAATGAATAAAAATAGTGCTAGCAAAATAAGCTCCCTTCCCATAGCTTAGTACACATAACTTAGTACACATAGCTTAGTACACATAGCTTAGTACACATAGCTTTCTCCACAGCTTAGCATGCTCCCTTCCCAGGCAACACTAGGCCCATGTAGTAAAGGCAGTAATAATCAACTTCAATCCCCCTTTACCTTGGGATGGCACTTCTCTGGGGCAACTATCACCATATAAGGCAACAAGAGCCCCTTAGAGTGTCCTTCAGGTCTAGGTAGATGCAGAGCCCCTTATCTACTATTTGGACAGCAGCCATAAATCTTAGTCCACCACGATGAAGCCCCTGGCCCACATATCCATACCTAGCCCCTTCTAACTCCTCCTAAACCTCCTAGGTTATATGTCACCTCAGACAATAGCCTGTGCTTCTCACTTCTCCCTTGTGAGAAGGGGTCTTGCTGGCCCCTTTCCCGGCAATAAACCTTTCTTTGTTCTTTGTACCTGGATGTCTGCGTGGTTCTTTGGCAAAGTCTAATAATAGCTGAAAACTAACTGTGAGTGTTAAGAAAAACAAAGGAAATCTGAATAGAAAATTGTTAAATTAATCCTGGCTTTGGTGGCTCATGTCTATAAATCCTAACTACTTAGAGGCTGAGATCTAAGGTTCCTAATTCAAAGCCAGCCTGGGCAAGAAAGTTCATGAGAATCTTATCTCCAATTAACCAATTAAAAAAAAAGTGGAAATGGAGCTGTGGCTCAAGTGGTAGAACACTAGTCTTGAGTGAAAAGGCTAAGGGACAGCCCCCAGGCCCTGAAATCAAACTCTATTACTAGCACACACAAAAGAAAACTGCTTAAATTATCTTTTGGTTTAAAGCTATTTGATCATAGGAAAGAGTAATGAATGGTGCGGGGTGGGGTGGGGGAGGGCAGTGGTTGTAAAACCCCAGGGATCTCCTGCCAGCCCTGCTTCTCCTAAGACAAGGGTTCTTCTTACTAATGCCTGGCCTGCTTGGTCACCCTTTCATCTTCCTCTTGGTAAATACCCCTTCTCTTGTATATTTTCTTTTGTAAATTTAAGGACAGTTAGTGAAGATTCTATACAGAAAAGATTTGCTAGGGTAGGCCTTTATTTCCTCCTCTAGCTTACTGGCTCTGACCTCCATTTGTGCTCATTCTCTCTGTGTAGGCACAGTTATTTTAGATTCTTTTTCTTCTCTTTTTCTCCCACTGCTATAACTTGAGTCAAGGCCCTTGTGTAGTCAAGCAAGCACTGTCCCATTTGAACTGTGCACCGAGCCCTTTCACTTGTGTTTGGTTTTTGAGATCGCTCTATCTTTTTGCCTGGGCAGGACTTGAGCTCCTGGTTTTCCTTTTCCCCAACTGAGTAGCTGTGATTGCAGGTGTGCACCGCTATCTGAGCTAGTTTATATTCTCACAACCGTCCCGGTATAGACACGCTTCCTAGTCCTGTGCCTGATGTGTTCTGCAGCTGATTAAGGAATTTCTGTCCAGGTTTCCTGGAGTAGCTGTGGTGCATTCATCCAGCAGGCCCACCCAGTACTATAAGGGTACTGGGGTGCAGCTCTAGAAAAGCACTTGCTCCACTGCTGTGAGCCTGTTCACTGATGAGAGAGATGAGGGACATCCTGCAGCAGTCAGGGCCAGCTGGTTGTTTAAAACAGTCTCATCTGTGAGGACCTCCAGGTTGCCACAAACAACATTGGAGAGCAAGGCTGACCGGAAATAGCAGCAGGGATCAGTGTCCATCCATAAACACCCTAGGGTGTTCTCAGCCCTTTGTTTCTCCCTCCCCGCCCCCCCCCCCCCCCCCCTCAGCACTCCATAAGGAGCCTGGAGTCATTCCAACAGTTGTGGTGCCTCCAGAGCTTTTCCTTTCCTGAGATCCCAGCCATAGGCCTCAAGATAAATGGCTTTACTTCCACTTACCTAGCCCAGGTCTCCTTGTCCATATGGCTATGGACAGCCCTTCAGACCCCATGTGCCTATGTCTGACCAGCTGACTAAGTCAGCAGAAAGCAATGCTGTTGGTCTGGTCTGGTCAGTCTCCTTCTCTACGAATCTCATTGTTCTGCATCACTGAGTCAGGATCATGCTTCTTTCTGAACCCCTGGAGCTGTTTCCAAAGACTCCGAGCTTCACCCAAGGCCTCGTCACGAGCTGTGGTTCACATTCCTGTTTGGAGTTCGGAGTTCCGGGCTCTGAGAGGGAATAGAAATGAGCTCACACTGCTGCCTTCCTCTTGAGGGGAGGCAGCCCTGTGCTGGCTGCAGGCAGAAGATGACACAAGTAGGCTGATTGGAGACAGGAAGAATGCAAGGAGGCAGCCCAGTAGGCCAGGGGCCATGGCCTTGTGCTACCCTCAAGGAGGTGGGCAGGGGAGATGAGGCAGGCAGAGCCTGGGGAAGGAGAGGGCAAGGCCATCTGGTGCCAGAGCCAAGTGAGGGTCATCTATGACAGGCTTCAGAGGTGGATGAGAGTCGTGAGATATTGCTGTTGACTTTTAGGAGAGTAGTGGCACGTCACAGGGACTGGAGAAAGGAGTGCAGGCTGGCAAGTGAGGGCCTGCAGGAAGCCAGCGCTCACAACATTATGTTGTAAAAGGGAGGAAAAGGTGACTCAGACAGGGATCTGTAGCCTTATCTCTTTGAGAGAGCAAAGAGGGGACTGAAAATGTGAGGCAGTAAGTCACACTGGTGAGGGGCCACCGTGTCACTTGAAATAGGGGGTACCCACTCCAGGGAACTTAGTCAACAGGTGGCATCTTCAACTCCTATCTCCAAATCTTCATCTTGGGGTCTTACCATACTTGGTAAGTAATGTGGTGAAAGAAAGGAAATCTTTAGGCAATGCTAGCATGACTGACTTGCTCTGACCCTGCAGGCTCTGAGTCAATATACTGGTGTTGCTTCCTGGACACAGAACTTAGAGAGAAAGAGAAAATGCGTGTACAAGCATGCACACACATGCACATGACGGCCAAACCTAGGATCAGGATGAAGTCTTATTTTTGCTTTTGGTCACCTGTCAGCCGAAAGAGCAAGAACATGATGGTAGAACAAGGCCACTCTCTCCGACATTCCTGCCTTCATTGCATGGAGACAGAAGTAGAAGAAAGACTCCAACTCAAAAGCTGTTTTGGTACGCTCTGACTCATCTCCTTGGTAAATCCTTGTATGCCAGAACTTGTTCAGATGTCATTCTTTTCAGCCACAGGAGTACAAAGGCCTGGATTAATATGGGTGCTATAAAGCTTAGAACCAGGCAGTCCTGAGTTCCCAGCACTCAGGAGGCAGAGGCTAGCTGAGCTGCACAGCAAGTTATTTCTTGAAATGATTCCCACTTTAAACAATCTAAAGCATAGTGCTGGGATGTGGGCGAATGGTAGAGTGCCTGCCTGGCAAATGGGAGACCCTGAGTTCAAGATCCCTGTGCCATCAACAAGTTAAATAAAACATACTTAATAATTTGATTTTCTATAGCAGGTCCATGATAAATTATTTGGGAGAATCAATATTTTTCCCCCATAAGGAATATAGAATGTCTGTATAAATAAAAGATCTCAATAAATTGAGATCTCAAGTCTTCTAGTAAAGTTTGATATCATGTTCTTTATAAAATAAGTTACCATTTTAAGTTAGGTTAATTCTTAGATACACTATTTTGTGTGTGTGCTTCTATGAATTTAGATTTTTGCGTTAAAAAAATCATTATTATTATTATTATTATTTTGCCGGTTGTGGGGCTTGAACTCTGGGCCTGGGAGCTGTCTCTCAGCTCTTCAGCTCAAGGCAAGTGCTCTACCACTTGAGGCAGAGCGACACTTTGGGCTTTCGGGTGGTTTACTGGAGATAAGAGTCTAATGGACTTTCCTTCCCCCAGCTGGCTTTGAACCGCGATCCTCAGATCTCAGTCTCCTAAGTAGCTAGGATTATAGGTGCGAGCCACCAGCGCCTGGCTTGTGTTAAAAAAATTATTACTGACAATTTTGTAGCTAGTCACTCTGGTAAATATTCATTAATTATAATATGTGTTTAGTGTCTTGGGATTATCTGGACAACCATGTAATCTATAGTAATACGTTTGTTGCATGGAAACAAAAGTTTCTAAATGTCTGGAAGCTTGTGTTTATTGAAGAATCCTTAAAAAAAAATCAAATAAACAACCACAACAAAAAACCTCTTCCCCATGTAGTCTCTTTATTCCTTTGCATGTCAAATGTTTTGAAGGTTCCTGAGTGTAAAACAATGTGAAAAAGATGACTAAGATGATGATTAAAAATGTTGAGCTTTCTATTCAGAAACTCAGGAGAAAATCTTTCTAGGGGAAATGTAAACTCACTGGGTAGAATAATGTATCAAAACTGGGAAGTAACATTCAGTTGCCAATTGTTCTCAACTTTCAAGCCACTGTCCAGGAATACAGGAAGAATTCAGAGCCACCTCCCCCTTTTTTTTTCTTTCTTTTCAAGGAGGCGGAGCTAAAGATTTAGTCTGGAATTCAGATGCTCATTAATGACTTGCTCTGTGGCAGCTAGACCAAGAGAATAGCAGTGGCTCTGCTACGCAAGGCACAAAGCTCGTGCTACGGAATGGAAACCACTGCCTGTCCCTTCAGGGAGTCCAGTTCTCTAGGACCTCATGTAAGTAATGGGGCCATTCCATGATGCTTTAATCCAGCACTGCTGTCAAGGGGAGAGAAAAGCTTTGGCTTTAACCCTTTTGCATCCATGACTCTTTTCACTGCTAACTCAGGCTAGTCATTTTGTCGTTGCTATTTGGTTAATTACTGTGCTGAAACCCCCTGGTCTCCTTGCATTTCCAAGCTGGTAGAGGAAGACAAACTCTTTTTTTCAAATTCTGGGTGCTTGTATCAGATACAGGGTTTTTTTCAGGGGTTGCTTTTACTTTATTGAGTTCTCTCCCTCATAAATACAGTTTATTTCCAATGTGTGCTATAATTGTATTCATTTTCCCTTTCCTTTTGCAACATGGCATAGAAAAGCTGCCTTGTTCAGTTTTCTTCTCCTCAGCTATTTACCTGACCAAATGAAGCCAAAATAGAAGGAAATTATTACTATGGTTAATTTTCATGTTTATCTCTATATGTAAATGACCAACTTCATTGCTACATAAATGGTTCTCACAGAATGTCATTTTATTTGTTGTTGTTATTGTTGTTGTTTTTGGGTCCGGTCGTGGGGCCTGAACTCTGGGCCTGGGCGCTGTCCCTCAGCTCTTCAGCTCAAGGCTAGCACTCTACCACGTGAGCCACAGTGCCACTTAGGGTTTTTTTTTTTTTTCTTTTTGCTTATGTGGTGCTGAGGAATCGAACCCAGGGCCTCAGGCATGCAAGGCAAGCGCTCTACCACTGAGCCACCTTCCCAGCCCCAGAATGTCATTTTAGAAGGAAGTTTAACCTAATTATTTATTGAGGCATACGGGCAGCTAGATGTTTTAGGACATCACCACATGTACCCTGTAGATACACTCTATCCCGCAAGGAGGGAATGGAGACTCACAGTAGTTTTTCTGAGGCATGGAAATAACTTGATAAAAACAGTCTTTTAAAGAAGTTCATCAGGTAGCTGTGTGCAGGGAAGATTAGGAGAAGCAGGGAATCTGGGCCAGAAGGGCAAGTGAATGCTCAGTAATCAGTGATGTCAAATCTTTTTGAGCTATTATAACGTCACGACAGATTTTTATCAGTTAAATTCTTTCCATTACACAATATGCATTGATTATAGGATAACCTTTGGTTTTCATTATGGAAAAACCAGGCACTTCAGAAGTAAGGAAATAAAAAGATGAAGAACTGAATTAGAATAGGAGGAATAGGAAGGGAAGAGCACATTCTGGAAATATTTTGAGGAATCTGAAAGATCAAATGTTATAATTTAGAGAGTGAAGAATATGACTTACTGATTTTGAGTTTGGATAAAAATGACAAGTTTGTGCGATTAAAAAAAATAAGGCCTGGGACTGGTGGTTCATGTCTGATGCCTGTAATCCTAACTACTCAGGAAGCTGAGACCTGAGTATCACAGTTCAAAACTAGCTCGGGGGAGAAAAGTTTATGAAACTTTTATCTCCAATTAAATACCACAAAAAGCCAGAAGTGGAGGTGTGGCTCAACCAGTAGAGTGCTAGCCAAAAGTTCAATAACAGTGCCCAGGTCCTGAGTTCAAGCCCCAGGACCAGCACTGAAAAAAATAATAGGGTGGGTACCAGTGGCTCTCACCTGAAATACTGGCTACTCAGAAGGCTGGGATCTGGAGGATCTCTATATGAAGCTAGTCAGTGCACAAAAGTCCATAAGACTCCATCTCCAAAAGTAACCAGCAAAAAGCTAGGCTGAAAATATGGTAGAGTTCCAGCTGAGCAAGCAAGCTGAGCAAAATATTAGGACTTGAGTTGAGGGAGTATCTAGCAGGAATCAAAGGTAGGAACTGAGAGCTGAAAGGAAAGGTCAGAGTAGAGTATGTATCCAAGGAATTATTTATATAGAGGTCAACATGAAAGGTCTAAGGAATGAAATTCAAGGGCTGGGGGCAAGGCTCAAATGGTAAAGCACTTGCCTATCAAGCATAAGCTCTGAGTTCAAACCCTAGTACTGTCCAAAATAATAAAATGAGCTCCTGTAACTGGAGTTCATAGAGGACGAAGAAATAAAATCATGAGAGCGCCTATATTCTGGGACAGGGTGAAGCACAGGAAAGAAAAACAGATGATCTGAAAGGTGGAATTAGATTCATTGAAAAGTAGGGGCATGAAAGACATCAGAACAGAGAACCTTTAGGTTCATGCTTAGGCTTACAGATCCATATTTGGATGGGTCGTTAAGCCTTCATGAAAGATTTTCCATTTCAGATGGGTTCTTACTGTGTTGCCCAGGTGGATCTCAAACCCTTGGGCTCTAGAGGTCCTCAGCTTCTCAAGTGCTAGAACTATAGTTATATACCACTGTGCCCAGTGTTAGGCAGGTATTTAAAGCCCACTTTAACCACCAAGCGTGGTAGTACAAACCTGTAACCTCTGTACTAGGAGCTGAGGCAGGTGGATCTCAAGTACTATGCCAGCCTTGGAGATATAGACAACACCCCTGTCTTTGTGAATGTATGTATGTATGTAGGTGCCCTTTACTGGGCATTGAACTCAGGGCCTAGGCACTGTCCCTTAGCTTTTTTTTTTTTAATCAAAGCTAGTGCCCTGCCACTTGACCCATAGCTCCAATTCCAGCTTTTTGGTGGTTAATTGCAGTTAAGAGTCTCACAGACTTCCCTGCCCATGCTGGCTTCAAACTGCAATCCTCAAATCTCAGCTTTTGGGGCTGGGAAGGTGGCTCAGTGGTAGAGTGCTTGCCTTGCATGCATGAGGCCCTGGGTTTTGTCCTCAACACCACATAAGCAGAAATAGCCCGAAGTGGCGCTGTGGCTCAAGTGGTAGAGCACTAGCCTTGAGCTGAAGAGCTGAGGGACAGCGCCCAGGCCCAGAGTTCAGGCCCCACAACCAACAACAACAACAAAATCTCAGCTTTCTAAATAGCTAGGTGTGAACCTCTGGTACTAGGAAATCCCATTTTTTGTTTGTTTGTTTTTATTTTAAGCCCACTTGAATACTCCTGAGGAATGTTTAAATGAGACCCTTCCTTCATCCTTAGCTGCACGCTAACTACCAAAGAGGAACTATTTTTCAGCTCCCAGAGTTATTTCCTTAGCTTATGCTGGCAAATCATAAAATTTTGCCAAAGGCATATTGCATATTGATTTAACTAGATCCTTGAAAGTCCAAAAGAACATAACTCTTTTTTTTTTTGTCAGTCATGGGGCTTGAACTCTGGTTCTGGGTGCTGGCCCTCACCTCTTCAGTTTAAGGCAAAAGCTCTACCACTTGAGCCACAGCACCACTTCTGGTTTTCTGAGTGGTTTGTTGGAGATAAAAGTCTCATGGACTTTCCTGCCTGGGACGGCTTTGAATGGTGATCCTCAGATCTCAGCCTCCGGAGTAGCTAGGATTATAGGCATGAGCCACCAGTGCCTGGCTCCTACATAACTTTTAATGAATGTTTTAGAACATAATTGTGTTGATCCAACTTTTTAAAAAAGAATCATAATTAAAGGCAAATGAGATTTTGATATTGTCCCAGTCTTTTTAGAATAGCTGTGTCAATGAAACTTTCTCAACTTCTATTGGTCAAGAAGTGACTATGCACTCTCTGGTTTACAAGTTCCTAGTAACCAGACAATAAACTATAGACTATAAAGAAAAATACCTTTAAAAATCCCAGTAAAGAGAATTCTCACAAACCCACACACTGTGATTACATGTATTTATATCTCTCTGTCGTGGCTGGGAAAGCTAGCTTAGAGTTGCCTTACTACCACACACACTATAAAAGGCCACCTGACTGGCAGGAGAAACTGACTGGTAATTAATGGTTAAACTGTCTTGAAATGTGAATTTCAAATATGAAGGCTTCCATTTATGAGTCTCTTTATCAGTACATTTCTGAACCTACTGTTTTTTAGTTTTAGTTTTTATTTTTTGGTTATTTGTGTGTGTGTGTGTGTGGGGGGGGGGGGTTGTGGGGCTTGAACTCTGGGCTTGAGTGCTGTCCCTGTGCTCTTCAGCTCAAGGCAAGCGCTCTACTTCTTGAGCCACAGCGCCACTCAGTTTTCTAGTGGTTTATTGGAGATAAGAGTCTCATGGCCTTTCCTGCCCGGGCTGGCTTTGAACCATGATCCCGAGATTTCAGCCTCCTGAGTAGCTAGGATTACAGGCATGAGCCACTGGAGCCTGGCTGAGCCCATGCTTAATCTCATGCTTTTGTAAATCTCAAATTGACACACATAGTTTAGGGAATTATTTTTAGACAAGGTAGTTGAAAAATTATCTTTAAGTAGTTCTACAAAGGGATTTCAATTCAATGTGTCAGTTTATAAGTACAATATATCTTTGCTGTCTCTGTGTGTGTGTGTGTGTGTGTGTGTGTGTGTGTGTGTGTGTGGCGCACACCAGTCCTAGGTCTTGTACTCAGGGCCTGGGCACTGTGCCTGAGCTTTTGTGCTCAAGGCTAGTGTTCTACCACTTAATCCACAGCTCCACTTCTGGCTTTTTTGGGGGTGGTTCACCAGAGATAATCTCACAGACTTTCCTGCGTGGGCTGGCTTCAAACGACAGTTCTCTGATCTCAACCTCTCGAGAAGCTAGGCTTACAAGTGTGAACCACTGTGCCAGGCTTTGTATCTTGATCAATATTACCTATTCCAGCCATCCCAACCTTTACCTATAGCCCTTCAATGTGACCAGGGTCCATTTTCACATATATACATTTGATATAAATGATTACATATAAACCTAATTATCATTCCCTCAAAACATGCTCAAAACACCTTTAATCTTAAATGTTTTTCATAGGGAAAAAGAACTACTTTCCTTATGAAGTATATTCATAAGGCTAATCAGTGCCAAAAGATAAATTTTTTGTTCAGGAGAGGTTATAAACAATCTGGCTTATGTGGTGGTAACTGCTTTCTAAGGTGTGCTTTACTTCCACACCCTGACCATTAAAAGTATTGTGGTTGAAGTACAGAGTACTTTGAAGGAATAGCTTTAAAAAAGATTAAACTGAATTATCCAGCTT